TGAGGAAATTTGACTCTGTATAGGATACATGAATTCTGCTCACATTTTCTTCTCCGAAGAATTATTCCGATAGTAAATAGGTTGTTATTAATGTTCTGAAAGTTTGTTCTGTTGTCTCTGGGTTTTTAAATTTTTTTAAGTGAGATTTTTAATATTCTTTGCCTCAGTTTGGATTTGGGTCCATATAGTTTGTAATTCCACAAGAATACATATAGATTAATATGTGAAGCCAAGCCATCATCCAAAAGTATCACCTTTCACCTACCTAACATCTAAACTTGCTATTTATGGTGCCGGTATATAATATTCAAAAGGGATTATTAGAAATTAAAGGCATCTAGGTAATTAAACATGAAATGTTTCGATGATGTTCAGAGAGAAATGATCGTGCGAGTGGTACCAGTAGAGACACAAACTTCTTTCTGTTATGTTGTGGTATCAAAGTACGCTAGAGTTGGCCTTTACGACTGGAGCTTAGGACTGCTGGAGCAATATCAGGTATGAACATATGAACTATGAAGCTTCTTAAACAAATGCTCTACAGCCCATTTAGACCCAACGGGGTGCCATTGGTGGGTTTCCAGAAAATATAATTACGCCCAGCAACGGAAAGCTTCTATTGTTTTATATTCATTCTTTAGAGTAGTTTAATACATCTTTTTATCCCCAACAATATAGTGAAAACAACTGCAAGAGATATGATTATACTTGGTAATATTTGCTTGTGTAGTTAATTACTTATTGTTCCTCTTTATTTATAGAGGGATTTCACCAGCAAATAATTTAAACCATATAAAACAGTTTATTTGTAAATTATAAGCTCACAGGAAGTGCTCACTCACTGTAAAATTCACCACCAAAAAGTGAAACCTACTGTCAACATTATTATACACTCAAGCTTTACTTACTGAAGATAAAACACAGTCATACGTTGGTAATTCAGAATTGGTCATATTAGTTCTCATTTGTCATTTGTTTGGAAATGACACCCAATGTATGAATGTATGAAAGTACATCATGAAACCTATGAAAGTAATGTCATTTTGTCATTACCTTAGAGTTACTGGGACACAATGCTGCATACTGTATTTCAACCTGAATACAAGTGAATGATAAATGCTGAATGAAGTAAGATCATTTATGTGGCTTTAATACTGGGACTAAGGCCAGCTGTACAACCGCCAAAGGACTATTTATTGAAAGGCAATAATGATCAAGGACAGATGGGTATATTTCCAAACCATCAAAACTATACATTTCTCAGGATCAAATGGTACTGAATTAAGATAGCTGAGTGGTTTTACCTGTTCACATGATAGAAAGGTTTGATATTGAGACAAGTCAGTAGCTTTTGATAGTTTGAGTCTGAACCTATCAGCTTTCCTCAATTACTATTACCAGACTGTGGTTCAGGCGAAAGATACAGCAAGTATTATTCAGTTACAAAGCCACTATCTCAATTATTCAATAATCACTCTTCACTCATCTTCACTTCAAAATACACAGCATGGTGGGTCAATGTTGTCTAAATTCAACATAATTTACACAGCTTCAGCTATCATTACTTTACAATGAGAATACTTGCAGTATCCATAGTCAATGAATACCAATCCTAGGCAAAGCTGGGCTCTCAGAGTGAAGATAAAAGACGCCAAAACAACACCTGGGTGACGGATGCTTGCTATCTTGCTGATGCAGCCATGCTACTGATAGCTGTGAGTGATCGTAGTCTCCACCTGTACTCAGCAACTGGGCTGGTCCATGTGCCTACATACCACATCTCCGGCAAGTCAATCAATATTTTTGTTGCATATATTTTCTAAAGACAATTTTTTCGGTTTTTTTGTAAAGGATCTGACATTTTAAACCTTGTGTTGTTGCTGTATGACCTTCTGTTAGCATCATTAATTGACCATCATAGGATCTTGGTCCAGAATTTACTCAGTTTCAATCAAACCAGGATCTTCAGATTTGAATGTGCGTAAATTTTAAGTCTCTAGCTCATCGGGAACTTTGTTTAGAATTGATATCAAAAAGATTTGTAGGAAAGCGACTAGTGAGCTAATAAAAACAAGCCCATGGGGCGTAACCCAAGAGAAATATGAAAATTAAATGATATAATATTGCATTGTCATCCATTTGTGAGCTATGTTTTAAGATTAAAGTCTCTAGCTCATCGGGAAGTATCAAAATTTGTAAGAAAGCGAGTTGACAAAAACCAGCCCATCGGGCGTAGCCCGAGGGAAATATGAAAATTAAATTATAATATTGCATTGTCATCCATTTGTGAGCTATGTTTCAAGTTTCAAGTCTCTAGCTCACCGGGAACTTAGTATAAAATTGATTGCAAAATTTGTACCGGACAAAAAAATATTGGTCCAGCTGTTCACATTAAATTTCACTTCTAAAACGTTTTTTAACTTTGGTCAGTAAAATTGAAAGCGAACTCAAGGAATAAATTAATCACAAGTTAGAGGGATGAAGCCCTTAAGAAAATTACTTTTAGTTAACATTAGCCCCTCCACCAGAAGCTTTATAATTACACCTCAACTGTAAAAATTTGTTAAGTAGGATGGCTAAAAAAGGGATGTTACAGAGAAAACCCCTATTGATAAATTTATAGTGATCACGGACTCCTGGGTCCAGTTTAAAAGCATCAAAACACTACTTAATTTTGCCAGGATCCAATCTGCCAGCTCAAGGTGGTTTAGGTTCGTTGGGGGCAAGGAAGCAAAACATTCCCCTCTATAATGAAGGTGGGAGGGGCGCAAATTTCTCCTGGGCCCATAGCGTGTCATATACAAACTGCAGGATTGCAATTTACCAGCCTTCAGATTGATTGGTGACCACTAACCATTCGGCTACCCAGCTATAACAGATACCATAGTGAATATTTTAAGCAATTTCACCTACCAATCCTTATGATTAAAAATGATTTACTTATGATTATGTTGTTTTAGAAATAGTCCAAACTACTCCTATATATCGTATATTTCCTTGTCCGTTGTAGTAATTTCTATTTAGACAAGTAATTTTCCCCTTTGGCCCATTGGCTAGGTCTACCCAACACTCCTACGTGTCTCAACTACACCATTGGGGCCACTACAGAAGACCCATCTGTTCTATTGGTTGGAGATGACCACGGGTCTATCGCTACACTTACATTCCTACAACCGCAGTACGCCCTCTTCAAGCGGACCAGTACTGATCGTATGGACACCTACTTCTGGCAGGTGCTGATAAAATTTGAAATGGTTAAGGCCAATCAAGGTAGAAAGAATTAATATACTTTGAAGTTCATTTTTGGTGATGGTGGGTTTTGAGAACATTTTTTATCAATTTGTAAAAATAAGTTTCACAACGTTTCAGAATCTGAATATCTAAAACATAGCATGTTATGGACTATGGAGTTTTGTTTGAGACACTATCTTGGGCAGATGTGTCGTCTACCCTTTAAATTATTTTCGCCCGGAATTTTTCTTGTTTCTTTTTTAGTTGCATTTCAAATACAGAGTTTTTGGTGTCTTAGAGTGTGACTCTTTTTAAGTTACATTTATCTTTTTTGTTTGTGTACTATTATAGCTTTTGGGGATCAAGTAAATGTTACAATTTTACGATAAAATTTACAATGATAGTAAAACCTCGAGCACTAACTGGACAATTTGTGGACCCAGAGGTTGTCAAGTTATCCAGAACACTGAAATTTTGAATGGGTTTCAAAAAATAAATGCATAATTTAATAGACTATTTTAAACAAATTTATTACTTACTTACATATGGTACATATTTTTATTTTTTTACATATTGAGTAAACAATCTTAAAATATATGTTGAATATTCAACAATTACAACAAAATGTTCTAAAAAATGTATTTTTCATAGTTGAATCTTGTATACAATCAAAACTACACCTAATAGTGTAATAACAATTTTTCCTCTTAAAAACTTGAGTTTTTCAAGGAGCTAGAGTCCCAAAGGGACTGGGTGACCATTCAAACAGAATACGGGGTTCACAAAAATGAAGTGACTAAAGTGGAGTACTTCAGTGACAACAATACCGTGATCAGCTGTAGCAACGACCCTGAGACTACAGTGATCATACGTCACATGGTCGGCCGACGCAAGCCATACATCTTCAAAATGAGGCGGGTGAGAATTTATTTTGTTGTATTGACTTTTAGTTCTTTAATAAGCTACTAGTGACTTTAATTTGCTTTGCATCAGACTATGAAACCAGAATTAAAACATCCTTATAGCCACAAACTGTTTGTATTTACATTGACTATGGAACATTACACATTTCCTTTTTTTGCATCACCATAGTACTCATATACATACAGGGGCGGCTCCAGGAATATTTTTTTGGGCAGGCCTTACAAGAAAGAGTTTGATTGGGGACGAGAGGTTTGAAGGCTTTCCCCGCAAAAAGGAAGGAATTTAAAACTTTAAATGCAAAATAATTAGTTTGAATGCTTTTACTTTATTTACACATAATAAAATTTCTATACTTATTTATAATTTTGAAAAATCTACCAAAATTTTGGGTAGGCCCAGGTCTACCCTCTGGAGCCGCCCCTGTATACATATCACTTTGTTTCAAAAAATTATTTAATTACCTTAACCATCTATGTTGACGGGTTGTGTAAACCAGTTCTCAAAAACCATATTTGTTCAGAACCCCATCATCAGCTGTGTAGGCATAATAGCTTAATCCCATATGTACCAACTGAAACCAAATTTTTTATTACAAAAGAACATGAATGAGACATAAATTGCAGTAGTGTCTAAAATTAGTTTTTTTATTTTATTTTATTTTACTGAGATAGTTGGCATGACATAAAGGATAGCTAACAAAATCATTCTATCAGTTTGACTTGGTGTAAAAGTCCGCATATTCGACAGAAATCGGTAATATACATTAGCACAATCTGTCGGTGGCTCACTTGAACTACCTCCAAAATCTGGTGACAGCTTTGACATGGGGATAGAGTGAATTGCAAATGAGAAATGTAAAAAATCAGATGTAAACATCCTGAGACTTTTATTTTTATCATTAAACCCATAAAATAAAACGATTCTTGATGGAATGCAATAACCATGATGTTTCCAGTTTAGGATTTACACTGCTTATAAAATCATAGTGATTGATTTGGAAGTCGCCTCATTTGATGCCTAAGAAACATCTGTCCACCCAAAGCTAAATCATTAAACAACTACATCCCATCCCATAAGACCAGTACTGCACCGTGAAGGTGGACTAGAGTATGTTTAGAATTAGATTGTAAATATTTTTAATTTCAGGGTGTGAGATGTTTCCACCTAGACCGCTTCCTGAAGCTGCTCGTGACAGGAGGCCAAGATGGGATCCTGAGACTGTGGAACCCAGTGATCACTTACAGACCGACAGTGTCTCTATTCGGACACAAGTCTTGCATTATCGACGTCCGGGCACTCAAACACCTCAGGGTTATCCTTAGCATGTCCAAAGATGCTGTGAGTTAAAGAAACTACTACAAAACTCTCTAAAATATAAAACGACTAGCAGAGTACCCGTCTTTCGTACACGTACGGGGTTGGCATGTGCAATAAATGCTTATTGCAAGTGCATCGTTGATATTGGAATAAATTAGGGATGGACGAGATTGGATTTTTAGTTCGAGACGAGACGAGACGAGATTTTTTATTTCTCATAAACTTTCGAGACAAGATCGAGACGGGATTTCCCTTCTCATACACAACGGGAAATGCACGTTCAAAATTTTTACCTGATTTTGTAACATTGTTAGATGACTGTTTAAATACAAAAATAATGATAATAGGCAAGAATATTTACAATCTTTTATTAAAAAACATCAGCATAACATTTTTTTATTTATCACGCCTAACTTATTAAAAATGCCTACGATTAGGAAACATAGTGATATCAGTTAGGGTAGAGTTCAACTTATCCTAAAATAAAATAAATCATAAAATAAAAGCAATATTAATTTTTATAAAATAGTTAGGTACTTGTTTTGACTTTTTATAGTAATAAACATTCCTCACACTGCTTACATTTAACAAAACTTCTCAAATGTTATTAAAGTAATATTATTAAAATAATTAAAGTAATATTTACATTTAAAGAATTAATTAAATAAGAACGCCTTCGCAAAGGAAACGCAACTACAACACGCTCCTGTATTGCGGGTATTGCATTGACTTTCTGCAGGCGTTTCAAATTTTTTTTTTTATTTTTTTTTATTCTCGTCTCGATAAAAATCTCGGCCAAAAAGAAATCTCATCTCGTGTAACAAGATTTAAAATTTCCCGAAATTTCGAGACTTGACCATCCCTAGAATAAATGTTGGTTTACTTTTTAGATAAATAACTTTTTCAAAGTATAATGTTAAGTTATTTACGTTTTTATCAGAGTTATTTACAGTACCTATTTTAACACTATGTTAGAAGTGATAATACAGCCATATACGATTTTTGTTTTGATGGCTTTGTCTTTACACAGACATAGTTTTCACTGAAACAGGACACCCTTGACAAAGACACAAAAACTGAATGCGTATAAAACAGGGTCTGGCACGTGCACTCCTTCCTTTGTTAACGCCTGTCTATGCCTTATTTAAGTCATAAGGGTTGGGTAACTTTTAAGGGAAATTCCTTCTTAGTCACTTTGAAATAATTACGGCATTTTGCGTAGTATGACAGTTTGACCGGAGTTAGCCAACTTCGCTTTCATAGTGTAGGTGCCCAAGTGAGCTACAACCAATCTTGGATAATGCTCAGGTTTCTCATCAACATAATAGAGTTATTTTTAGCGTGGGTTCATGTGGTAACAAACCTAAAGGGCTTAAATGAGTTTAAAAACTCTTATGGATACAACAGAGCGTTCGACGTCCCTTGGTAAAGAACCAAATCAAAACTTATATAAACCGTTTCCTGTCAGTAACAAATTTGACACAACATGAACATAACCATTCATTGAAACCAGTAGTAAAGAAAAGATAAGAGGTGATGTTTGAAGATTCTTAACTATATATAAACTAGAATATTTAATTATTTGTTACCTTATTTTATAGTTAGCCTTTGTTCTTCCAGGTTATTTCTTTCCTCCTATATAGGTCGCCACGGTGTGTGGCATTCTCAGGGATTAGGCAAGCTATATACACTCACGGCACAACGACTTTGAATTCATGTCGTGGCATCTTTGTGCCTGAGGACGCCACACACTGTGGCGAAATATATTGGAGGAAACAACTAACCTGAAAGAAAAAAGATGACTAAATAAGGTATATTTTAATCAATTATCAATTAATCATTGAGATGGGGACGCCACCTAGGTGCATATTTTAATCCAAATATTAGTGTAGAATAAGTGTGAGATGATCTGTGTAGCTTTGCTAATGACTATGATCAGCTGGTTCATTAGCTAGGATAATTTATTTAAAGCCCAAATGATCAGGAACAGATGGGGACCAGTTTCAAACCATCAACAAGCTACTGAAATGTCCAGGATCGAACTGAACTGGCGACCTTTTGATTGTTAGGCGAGCAGTATAATCACTCAGCTACCCAGCCATAATAATAGGTAATGAATAATTAAGTTGATTTTTGGTTTGTAGTAATAATTTTCCAAATTCTATATTCCAGGTATTGAAGGTATGGGACATTGAAGAGCAAAGCTGTCTTCAATCCCTCTCAACTTTGTTTCCTGTGTTTGGTCTGCTGTCCAGAACTCCTCACTTTGGAGTTCAGGTAAGGAAGTAGACACTGTTAAATATGAGAAATTAAAAAAGTTAACTGTATAAAATTCATTAAGGTTCTGTGAGATATTTTAGAAGCCTAGCCTCAATTGATGTGCAAAACGGATCCGGGCCAGAGCCTACATCCTAGGATGTGAAGGTGGGAAAAAAACACTAAGTTTAAAACAAGAATAGTGTGTTGATGGTTAAAAGATTCAGAAACTAATAACTTACTTTGTAATCTACTTGACTATGATTTTATACTTTCTGCAATTTTAAACGAGACTACTAACTTCCCTTTAACCCTGCTTACCTACATTTTTACATTTTCAAAGTTGAGATACTTTGACTTTTGCTTGACCCTTTTTTGCGTACACAATGTGTAATTTGAAACATGTATTACTTTGAGTCAATGGAAGTATCAGTAATTACCCACTAAATTTTACTACGCCCAATAACCACTGTGGAAGTTGAAGTAAAAAAAACTTATTTTATGACTTATCAATATGTTTTTACTACGTTAAAATACCAACTTTTTCAACCATTCTGTACCTGACCCAAACAAAAAGACTATTAAGAAACTATTAAAATAACAAATTGTCTGTCAGGTATTCTACCCAGGACCAGTGTGTCATGACCCACCTACTACTAGTGTGAGGGACAAGCCCACCTTGCAGACTAAACTGCAGACGACGCATCCAGCCAGTCTACTGTCTACATCCTCCACTACACGGCAGGACCGAGCTAGTGTGTACAGGAAGTAAGACTTCATCTGTCAATCTATCTAGCCGCTACATAGCTGGGTGCGGGTGGGGGTGAGCTGGTCTAGTGGTTAGACCGTGGGACTTCGGTCCAAGAGGTCCCGGATTCAAATCCCAACAAATCACCAATGGATTTTATCTAAGTGATAATGCCGCAACCCCTAGGTCTAGCCTGAAGTAATGTAAAAACCAATACCAGGCTCGTGCCTAGCGTCCTAGGACAAAAAAAGAAAACAGCTGGGTTACTAACTTGATTAATTTTTAGCGAATTTCCCTATAGGGAAGTAGCTATTACCGTAGGTGGCACGGTAAGACCTAGACCCGGGACCGATTTACTTTTTCATTTTGATGTCCCCAGAGGCCAAAAACACCATTCGTTCAAATTTTTATATATATATATATATATATATAGATTTAAGTATGACACCTTTCGAGCACCTAACGGCTCGCTACGCCACCTTTTCGGGACCTGCAAGTCCCCG